ACACTTAAATTAAAAATATTTGACCAAAGAAAAACCGGAGCAGGAATATAGAGAGATGAATGTGATTTAGATTTTTATTTCTGTGACTGAATATGACCTACAGGAGACACGACATTAACAGCAGTCATCATTTCATTTCTTGGCTTTAGCAGGTCTGACGCTGCTAAAAATGACTTTTTTTCCTGGATCTCCGAGAGCAGGACTTCAATGTCCGAACTCGTGAAGGTCTTCTTTTTTCTTTGCAATGTCATTTACGAACGGACACTTCCTGGGATGTGGGGCAGGAAACATATATCCTCATATGGTGTTTTGATGGTGGTAATTATGCTAACCACCTCTCCCCGTGCATGAGAACCTGATACGCATTCATCAGTTTACGCTCCTCATTTACACCCTTTTCCTGAAGATAGAAGAGTTTGTTGAATCTGATGTGACATTTAGGAATAGGAAAAGAAATTTAGGATAAGTATACGAACATGTTCTTGCATGAGACCCAGTGTTTCATAAAACACATTTTACCTCTGACATTTAATCCAATCTAAAGTTTATTCAAAAATACTTTAAATAGAGGATGAATCTCTTTTAAAACTAGTAAACTAAATCTGTTTATTGGTTTGTTGAAGATGTGCCAATTACCTGTGTTTTATGACATTTAGGGGACTACTGGATAGATCCTAACCAGGGCTGCCACAGAGACTCCATTAAAGTCTTCTGTAACTTCACGGCCTTTGGAGAGACCTGTCTCTACCCTGACAAAAGGATCGAAACAGTGAGCTTTTAGTCTCTTACTGCCAGCTGTTAAAACGTCAACTTTCTTGTTTTACATTAGGGGGGAAAACCCTCATTGTCTCCTGAAATAAAACTTTGTTCATCATATTTCCTCTCTTTGCTGTTTGTCCAGGTGAAATTAGCAGCATGGAGCAAAGAGAAACCAGGAAGCTGGTTTAGCCAATACAAGAAGGGCAAACAGGTACAACGAATTTAAAAAAATGTCAAATATCACATAAGAATAAAAAAAAAAWCAATGTGGCTTTATTTGCCAGGCARTGTTTTTCCGATTAATTACTCATCACAATCAAGCCTTTTTGATCTTTGCATGCATCTCTTAGTGTTGATGACTCCATTTGAATGTTGTTGTTCAGAAYTTTTTGCTCTGTATAATTTGATATTAACTCATAAGACTGCGTGCAATAAAGCAGCTGCTGATTTCAGTAGTCAGAACGATTCACACAAAGYCATTAGCAGCTGCGTCCCATTGAAAAGTATTTATGACTTCTCATGTGCAGCTGTTCAGAGGTGTCATAATCCTCTTGGAAGACAAAACTTGTTTTGTATTTCTTTTTTATTCCGTTAGATTTAATAACGCTGTGTCACAAACAGCTTGTTGATTCGTACTAAACCATATCTATTCCCCACCTTCCACTTCTGTGCATTAACGCTCGTGTTTGTGTGTCGATCAGTTCTCTTACGCCGACAGTGATGGGAACCCTGTGCATGTAGTCCAGCTGACCTTCCTGAAGCTCCTAAGTGCCACAGCCAAGCAGCGCTTCACTTATACCTGTCAGAATTCAGCAGGCTGGTTCGACAACACCTCCCGCTCCTACCGCCACGCCCTCCGCCTCCGTGGCAGCAACGACGAGGAGCTCACCCAAGCCAAAAGCCCCTTCATCACAGCGGTCCATGATGGATGCCAGGTCAGTGCTGGAGTGTGCTTAGGAAACGACTAGCTGAACAAACTGGAATTAGCATCAGTGAGACTAATGTGTTTGTCGGTAATGTTGTTGTTGTCAGCTGGATTTAGTATCAGAATAACATTAAGTTACAAACTGGATGAGGGATCTGGGTYAGAAGAGAGGAGTAGTTAGTTAGAGGAGGTAAGCCAAGCAGATTCTGATAATGACTTTGATTTTTCTCTTTTAGCTCCGCAAAGGTCAGGACAGGACAGTTTTAGAGATTGATTCCCCGTCAGCGGAGCTCCTCCCGATTATAGATGTGGCTCCAGCAGACTTTGGCAGCAACAACCAGAAGTTTGGATTCGAAGTTGGACAAGTGTGCTTCCTCGGTTAACATCTTGGCAGCAACGAACACGCAGGACCTTTGCAGGAAGTTTTCAGTGAAAGAAACTGGACTTTAATTTATGTCTGCCCCAAACAATATTTATGATGCTGTGTTGTGTGTGTGGTTAGTTTGTGGTACGTTATTTAAAACCTTTCAGCAGCCATTGTAATCCTTTCAGTGGATTTCAAAAAAGAGAGAGAGAGAAAAAAAGAAGATATGCGTCAGTGGGAACAAAGCACATATACCGAATGGAATTATTGCAATTAAATTTTGAATTTCAAGAGTGTTAATTTGTTTATTTAAATGGGCCATGATAGATCTGCTGAAATTGCAAGCACTGCACAACTTGTCTTTTAACAATTGTAAGCAAATGAATCTGTGCAGTTAGAGAATGTTCAACTGTGGTTTAAACACTTAAAACTGAGACTGGAAAATTCTGATTGCAGAACTCATTTACATGCTTGGATTTCAATACATTTACAATTACACTGCAGTTATGAACTAGGAAAGGATATTAATTCTACACAAGCACTCTAATTAATTTCCTGTGTGCAGCGATGATAAATTGTCCTTTTTTTACCTTTCAACTGCAGTTTGCTCAGTGAATTACTTTGTTTTGTATTCATTAGGTACTGCAAAAATATTGAACTCAACATTTTATTGAAAGAATAAGGTTGTCTCCTTTTTCAGACTCCATCCCTTCATACACTAAATATTACATTTTTTGAGGCCTCCATGTTTCCACAGTATTGAGTACTGTATGCATCAGAGTCAAATCCTTTCAACAGCGCTGTTTCACACCCCAGGACATATAGAGCAATATTTCTAGGCTTGAATTGAGAGCATGCTGATTGAAATGTTTTTTAGTCTAAACTGCAGTTCCGCACACCAAAAAGACAGTTTATGTATCTCCTGAGTACATTTTATAATTGCTAACCTAACCAGTTTTTCTTGCTGTTATTGTTTTTGCTTGACTCATTGTTTTTGTGCGTTTGTGTGTGAGTTCTAATTTTTTATTTTTTATTTTTCATATGCTGTAATTTGAACAGAATGCAATGATATTCTGGCACAATTTGCTCTTTTGAGGTGCTACAAATGATTTTTTTGTGTGTGTTTGTGCGTATAACTATGTTTGTGTGTCTCTGTGGGCAGGCTTATAGGACTAGAGAGTTAAAGGGTTATTGCTCTTTCAGCAGCCTGAAACACTCCAAGAGGTTGGGGACTTCTCTCCTGTTTTTTTGCACATCTTCTGGCTGACTGTGCCTTTTTCACTGAGCCAGCAAAATGATGCTTTGAACAGCTCAGAGCAACATGGCTGATTGCTTTAAGAGAAAATCAACTGTTAGATTATTTTACATTCTGATGTTCTGGTGATTTAAAAACATAGATCCATTATCTAAAATAAAAACAAAAATGCATTGTGACAACTGCAGGTAAAACAGTAGGATTTAAGAGTTTGACTCATTGTGTTCTTTAAAAAAGTGCATTTTTTTGAGCATTGGAAACGGTGAAATTTGCCATTGGTGCTAATATTACTCTGTATCTGAAACTTCATTATTTACTGTCTGCAGAGAAATTCTCAGGATTTTTTTGTGATGTTTAATTGTAACAGTCTGTTAAATATTGGCTCAAAGTCACTTTTTTGAATTGGCAAATTGAGCTGTAAAAAACACAGAAATGACGTGTGCGTGAATTACATATTATGGCTGATTTCCTGTCAACTAAATGACATTTCTTAATTCTAAACTACCTCCTCTGACTCAAATAGTAGCCTGTGTATACAGCRTGTGCAATTATGCCATTCAGTCCTGTTGTTTTGTTCATTTCATAGCATTTAAGCATTACAGTTGATCGTCTCCTCCTTTTCCATCGTACACTGCCCTTACTGTGTATAGTCTTTGTTGTACTAAATTTATATACTGTACAGTTTTTTTTATTTTGAGAGTAACAACATGGTGCCAGAATAGAAAAAAATAAAATGTAATTGTCCAAAGTTGATGAGCAAATAAAAACCCTACAATAAAACAGCTATGTTTGAGGTGGTGGTGTGTCCACTTGGGTTTATTAAGCAAGTTATTTCTTTAAAAATAAGTAAAAGTGGCTCAAATTATTGGAAACTGTTGACAACTTGGCTAAGTAAATCCAGCAATCTTTTTTTTTCAGTATGTGTGGGTGGGTGGGTGAGTGGGGGGCATTCATCAAAACTCTGCATGCCTCTCAGAAAAGTGTCCAGCCTGCATGTGACTATCTGCGTTGTGTGGTGACAATCTAACAGACTTCATTAAATCTATACAAGCTGCAATCAGAAACCTCACGAAATCAATGCACTGAACTCTAATTTACTCCCCAGTTCATTTATTTCAATTAACTTTGTTTCAGCTCTAMATGGGAAGGCATTTAGGAGACACAAGCAAGGACTGGTGAGAAGAATAAAATGAGATTTTAATGAAATTATAGTTAATAGAAAAGGAAGATTTGAAATTGTGTTCACTTTAGTAAAATTAGCAAGAGATGTGGTGAAAGATACAAAAGCAGGCCTTCAGACTCAAACAAATACACTGCACACGTGCTATTTGTGTACACACATACACACACACTGCTCTCACATCATGGTACAAGCTTCTCATTCCCTTTAGGGACCACTGTTCAAGGTTAGTATCAATGTCAAAATAAAGGTTACCATGTTTTTCTTTCTCTTTTTGTACTCTTTTCCACTAAATTGAATTTTAACCACACTAAGCTCCAGACCAGGAAAGGTCATGTCTTTCTACGAATTTAAAATAATGATGATAGCAGGAGAGCAAAGTGACTGACAGTATGGTATTCCAGCACTGCAATGGTTCTCCTTCTGGTCCAAACCAAAATTCTGTAGTGGTCCTCCATTTCTGTAACAATGTGAAGTTTTTATATGTTGTGCCTCTACCYGTCGTCTCCGAAATAAGTCAAAAGAATAGCCCGTCAAAATTGAGTTTTCAAAATTACACTCCGCGAGAATCAACTAAGGTCCAGATTTTTCATTACAGAGATAGAAATCGGTGCAAGCAGAGGGATGAGAGGAGTCCTTCATCCAGACGATCGGGGAGCTCAGCCCTGTCAAACGCTTCGGGAAACTCATGAAACTGTTCTTTCAAGTAAGCAAATTGGCTTTTTATAGTAATAAATCTACCAGTTATTAAATAACATAATTTATTCAACTTGTGTCATTTAAATAATAAATTCATCAGTTTTTTTCTCCTTGGCAAATATTCAAACTTGTGCTACCCTTGTTGCAAAGTAAAACACTTCTGTTTTCATGTTCCTGACTTTAAAATGAACTGTATCCAAAAATACAATCAGGATTAAAATTCTGTTTCTTAAATGTAACACATTAAATTTAAGATGGTCTGAGTTGCAATCTGTTAGATTCTAAATACTGTATATTTTTATGAGAGGTATGATCGAGCAAAGCTTTCAACCAACTCTGCACTGCTGTCCAGCATCCCAATAATGATTTGAACAGAAAAGTGAGTCTATAGTTGGCACTGATGAGCTACTTTCAGGCCCAGCAGTACATTAGTGTAACCCAGAGGCAGCAAGATCCATAGCAGCTGCAAACTGGACTGACAGATGATTGGAAGATTGAATCTCTTGTTCCATTCTTTTTTCCTCTCTCTCTCTCTCTCTGTTTTTTCTACCTCTCCCTTCAGCTCCCTCTGTCCTCTGTTCATGGCTTTCTCATTGCGGCTGAAAACATTAGAGATGTTTTATTATTGTTCATTGGACTATGCTTTCCCTGCTCCCACTCTCCTTCTTGTTTCYCTGCCTGTCTCCTGTGCCACTCACTTTAACAAAGCTGAACACGTCACCAAGTCACGATGAGACGTGAACAAATTAAACAGATGCTCAGATTAATTAGAGAACAAGAACTTCTACTTTTCAGGGTGAACAGCGATGTTCCCTGAGACTCGACGTGTCCACCCGATTCCAAACGGTGTTGTCGCAGCGTGATAACTGCAGACATTATTTTCCAAACCACTGACGTGTGCATAAGTGCACATGCTGTTCTCATTTTAACATCATGTAGCGCTCAAGAGACGTGGAAAAGACTTGGATTGTCCTTTGCTTGTGCTGAAAAATGCTCTGTGTCGTAGAYGTCCGGATGCGTGTTGGGTAGAGGACGTGAAACCGCGAGGGTTTTCRGCTGATCGGGGGCTCTTTTATTAGTGTGCATGCAAGCACCCACTCCCGCCAGGTCCCATCCACAGCTCCTTTATCTTTCAGAAGGTGTGGGGGGAAATCATTTCCACAGATACAGCTCCCATCAAAAAAGCTCTTATCAACAAAGCTAACATTAGTAAAGCAGTGGGAAAAAATGACTTGAAGGCGAGGGTGGGAAATGGAAATCCCTGGGCGATTGGGCAAGCAGTTCAGCAGTGATTTGGAAGCCCAGGGCCTTGTGTGTGTGAGCGAGTGTCAGATGATTATCTAGCAGACAGAAAGCCCAGATTCAAAAGCACGGCTTGAGAGCCACCCCCCMCCCCCCACCCCACTCTTTCTCCACCATCACCTTGCAATTTGCTGTCTGCTGCAGTCCTCAGTGTTCACCAGCACACCAAAAACTAAAAACACTACAACTGCCATGTAACTCTCATTCATTTTATCCCTCAGTAGCACAAGCTGTCACAGACAAAGTTATTAAAGGTGACTTTTTTAAATAAATGGGAAAGAAATGGAACCAGGTGGTGAAGGAAATCAAAAAAGGTTCAAAGAGATAGGGGTTCAGAGGATAGAATAGCTTTTGTTGTTGTTGTTGTTGTTGTTGTAGATATACTTCTGACCAATCTTAAAGGGGCAATATTATGTGTTTCTCAGGCAAATATTTAAAAACTATACCATAATAAAGTATCTATGTCACCTTTAGTTGTTATTAAAATGCTGTTTTTATGTTTAAATAGAAAATAAACTTATCTTCTCAACACTTCCTATTCCAAACGCCTTGAAATTGGTCTCTGTTTCTTTGAGAACCACCTTCTGCTTCTGTCTCGCTCATTTCAATGCGGGTGGGGGGGTCGTGCTTGCAAGGGGGAGGGCTGCTATGATGCAGTTTACTTGGCATCTGAAAATACATTTCCTCAAAGGTACTGTATTTTGAATCTGAAAAGAGCTTCACTGAGTGAGAAGTAGTTGGGAGCTCAGCAGACAGTTAAGTTTCACTTTCACCCGAGAGCCCGCAGGCAAGTTCGGGTCTCTGCGGACGAGTGGGCGTGTCCCAACAAAAGGCGATTCTAAAGCGACACAYCTGATTTGACAGACATTTTTAAAGGGACACACCTGATTGGACAAGCAAAAAAAGGGGCATCACCGTACGGCACCACCTGATTGGACAAGAACAAAAGGGGCGTTACTGTACGGCTCCACTTTTTCTGGAGACCCCTACTTGGGTCACATTTCTTCTGCTTAACCTTAGTGTTGGGGTCAGGGTCAGGCTGTATAGAGATCAAGCAGGATCTAAGGATACCGTCATGTAGGCCTCGTCGCCCACAGTGTTTATGCTTTAGACACGCCCACTCTTGTGACACGCCCACTTTGATTCCGCAGATAACCCCTTCTCCCTGCAGGAGTCATGGGCAGGGTGTGTGGAGAGGGGCGAGACGTGCTCTGCCATGAGGAAACTCGGCTTAAAGACACGCCCCAGGGGCGTTTCTGGTCCCAAAAGTCGTTTCTAGTCCCCACCTGTCGTTTTGCTCCTCAGCATGGCTTCCTAAAAACGCTGCAGGATTTCTCAAACATGCATGAACGAGTCAAAGCAAGGCTTTGTGCATGTTTTTTTTATGAGAGTATAACATTATAACATGATATAAAACTCAAAAGAAGTTGGTTTTACATGATATTGCTCTTTAACACGAACAATTTCAGAAATCTGAGGTAGATGTGTGTGTGTGTGTGTGTGTGTGTGTGTGGGGGGGGGGGTAGCCCTGATTAGGAAAGCAGGAAGCTTGAACACAGCAGATCTGTATTCAGTTGTGTGTCTGCATGTGTTTTTGTGTCATTTGTTAGTGCAAGAGAGAGAGAGAGGAAGCGGTGTAGCTGCATGACCCCATCACTCAATAGAAATGATTTTTTCCCATATATCAGACAAGGCAGATAGGGGAAGAGAGCAAGTGAAAGACAGAGACTGAGTGATTCAGCTGTGGGATTACACTGGCTCAGACTCCAGCTGAAAAGGGAGGGAAACTAATCGTTTCCATTCACATCAACGAGTCTGCCTGCTCCTGTCTGCGCTCCTGAATACATTGAAGTCTCCATCTTCTCTTCACCTCTCACTTCATTGCCCCTTCATGCTCCTACTCCCCTTCCCCCCTCCTCACCTTCTTTTTTTTTTCTCTTGAGTGATCTATGCATCCTGTCATGTATCAGCAGCGACACTGACATGGTATTCATTCTATCACAGAGAATCAGAAGTGGCAGCGTTTCATGGGCACCTGGACGCTTTTCATAAATCTTACAAGGCAGATCTGAAGCACACTGACAAAATACCTCGCCTGAGGTGAGAGTTTGCTGAAAATCGTACAGTGGTTGGAGACAACAATATATTTTCTGTCTCTTTTACAAATTGACCATGTCATGTAATCTCACTATTTATACAGGCAAAATGGATAAGTCCTAGTAATCAAGGCTTTTTCCACAGAGATGAAATACATCACTTTATGAATTATGTGCTGGTATTTTTCCACAATATTAAGTACTTTGGGGCCTGACTCTTCTTTTCGATATTAACCAATATTCTGAAACTGCAGGGGTGCTAGGACTTACTTTTGCATTCAAATAATAGACTTTAATACAATTAGRTCACACAAAAATTGGTTTAGTTTCCATAAACCCAGAGCGTTAGAGATGTTTTTTTAGATTTAAATACACAGCTCTTGCAAAAATCAATACCTTTTTTATTTTTTTTAATTTGACAAAATCAGTGACAGATCCTGATCAATTCGGAATTTGTAGATGTGGGAAGAAAGCCAGCTTTGTATCTGTGTGGAAGGTTCTTCTATGAATTATTCT